TCAACCTTCTTCATTCTACATATATATAATTAGATGCAGATCAAAATTATTTACTTAGAAAGGGCCCCTCGTTTTGTCCGGTCCCCCGAGACATTAATCGAATTAAATTATTAGAGGATTGGGAGAAAATCGACTTAGATCAGCTGTTTTCTTCCACAATGACCACGGCAACAATGACTCTAGTGCCGATAATAGCGTGCCTGTTTTCCCCATCGTTAAGAAAACCACTCGTTGGAAGGCCCCTTTGAATTGTCTCGTATTCCAGAACTTGAATTATTTTTAGAGTCGGTCAAAACGGAATTGTTCAACCCTGACAACGTCCGTTTCATCCCGGGACAACCTTTTCAAAGGGGAGAGACAGGCCCTATCTGCACTTAGAGATATTGACAGTCAAACCATTAAAATCCAAGACAAGGGTTCCAAATTTGTGATCATCGACACAGATGAATATGACGCCAAAATGAAAGAACAATTACAAAACCCTATTCATTATGACAAACTAGATTCCGATCCAAGCACTGATCATGTTAGTGTCATTTCGCAATGGGGAAATAAGTGGCTTGAAAGGGGACAAATTAGCGAAAATATTGCTAAATGGGTTGTCAAGGAAAATGCAAAACCGGCCAAGGCCTTTGGTACCATCAAAACTCACAAAGAGGGGAATCCCCTCCGGCTTATTACATCGTGCTGCGGTACTGCCATTGAAAATCTGTCTGCCGTCACTGAATTCTATCTTAAGCCTCTTGCCCAAAATCTTCCATCTTTTGTCAAGGAAACTACTCATTTTTTGCAAAAGATCGACGATCTTAACAAAACAGGCCCTTTTCCTAAAAAAAGTATTTTGGTCTCCTGGGATGTTGTCGCCATGTTTCCCAATATTGACAACAATTTGGGAATCAATGCCATCACGGACGCCCTTAATTCTCGAGCAACTAATTTTCCTTCCACCGATTGCATTGTTGAAGCTGTCAAAATTTGTCTCCCAACACAACAATTCTCACTTCAGGGACGAAAACTTCCTCCAAAATTCATGGGACGGCCATGTGCCCTAAAAATGCATGTAGCTATGCCGACTTAGCTATGGGTGTTATCGACAAGAAAGCCATGTCAGGGACTATAAAACCTAACTTGAGGTGGAGATATAGGGACGATATTTTCGACCTTTGGACACAGGGACATTCTAAACTGATTGATTTTACGCAATTTATCAACTCCCTGTATCCAGCTATTAAATTCACCCTTGTCCACTCTCCTACATCGCTCAATGTTTTGGATCTTACGCTCAATTTTGTTGAAGGCTACATCCAAACGGATATCTATTCTAAGCCCACAGATAATCACATTTATTTGTTGCGTAATAGTGCCAATCCCGCCCATTGTTCCAAAGCCATCCCCTATGGAGTGGCTACTAGAGTCAGAAGAAATTGCTCCACCCCCGAATCTTTTGAAAAACGTAGTGTAGAATATCAAAGTTATTTAATTAATAGAGGCTACAACCACTCCCAAGTTAAGCAACAATTTGACAGAGTCAAATCAATTCCTAGGGAAAATTTGCTTGCCCCCACCACCAAGGAGTCTAAGAAAGTGTTTCCGCTTGTTTTAGATTACAACCCAAGTTTACCTGGCATCGGAAAATTTTTTAATTCGTATAAACATCTCATTTATAATTCACCCTCTCTAGCCAAAATATTCCCCAAGGGGTCCATCATTCAGAAGAACCAAAAACATTAAAGATATTCTAGCACGCCCTCGTCGCACTAATTACAATAACACAGATGTACAAGGTTGTTTTAAATGCAAAGGGAAATGTGATCTCGGCTGTCGTAATTTTTTAGTAGAATCCGATCGCTTCACTAGCGCTAGCACCAACAGAATCTATAGAGACAGGGCCTGGGACCGAGAACCATGCTCTCACAACTTGCAAATGATCAATTTCGTTTTGGTCAGCGGTGTTTTCTTAAGGCTTCTTTTCGCGCGCAAAATTCCTTAAAAAATTAATTAACGTTCCTATAAACTATTTCGAGATTATTCCAACACGTTCAATTTGTCCAATGTGGCCGAACTGTCCAGGAGCTGAATTCGTGAGTTCATGTCCAGGACAGAAAAAGGAAAATTAACCTTCGCGTGTTGACGTTCTCCATAATACCGTGAATTTGGACATTTGATTTTTTTTGTTTTGCATACGAAGGCAAAGAAATGTAAATGAAAAACGCACGTGCGTTTTGTTTTGCATGGGACGGCAAAGAAATATGCAAAACACACGTGCAGAATATTGTATTACTAATTAAACCTATTGTTTTGTGACGTTCTTGTTGTCGTCCCAGTCGTGGTTGCATCTTAAAAACGAAAAACTTGAGAAAGAAGTTGATCTGGTTTAAAGGATCACAAAGTGAAAAAATACAATAATCATTCATACATCAGTACGCACTTCCATCGCCTCATCGGCCGCCATGTTTTTCTTTTATAGCTTTCCTTCTGACTTTACACAACTTCTACGCACGTGCAGATTATGAATCCGCTGGCTAAAGTTGTGATGATTGCTTTGCAAGTTGTGAGAGCATGGTTTGGATTTGATTTAAGAGAATGTATGGGAAGTAGCTACTCCCCATGTTGCAATCCCTTTAAGTATTTCAAATGCCTGAGACTCACGACGGAGTTGAAAAAGCCGTTTTCGAAAATATTTAAATGTTCCGATCGAGTTTGTATTTCTGAAACTGAAACTGACTGGCAGAGCCGGCTCCACTGTTACTTTTAATTAATTTAATTCAATTAATTTTCATCTCATAGAGAATAACATATTTAATTTGTGACCGCCATTTTCAGTCGTACAGGAAGGGACAAGATCATCCATCTAGCACAGTTACTACTACTGTCAACATATGGGGCGATGGAGCAGAGTACTCAAAGGATATCATGGACGGAATGATGCTTTCCTTGAAAGAAGTCGCACACACCTGCAGCCTTGATCACTTCGTAGATGTATGTGGTTCTATAATCATTTATAAAAAAGTTTATAACTGTATAATTTCTCGCGCGCTTATTTGCCGAGAGCCACTGGGTTAGCAAGGAAACGCATAAGAAACACAACCAGCGAGGAAAAATACGTTCAATGACAGTAATAAAAGGTATTTTTAAACTAAAATCATTTTTGTTATTGTAAAAAAATCTTCAGAGTTGATAGTTGACGTCATAAACCTTTTTAACAATCCGCCATCTTGGATCCGCCAGGAAATCTCCAAAATTGATTATAATATAAGAAAATCAACTAAAACAAAAAATCAAAAATTGACACAACAGCCTGTCAGAATATGGTTTCAACGAAAAAGTCAAGTCACGTAAGCAAGAATTGACACGTATATTCCCCGATAGTTTGAAATCAGCGTGAGTACTGTCTTCTTATTTTTTACTGGATTTCAAGGTTTCATTTATGTATTTTTTCCAGAGTGTCTCAACGATAGCCTTTGAGAAGTGGACAAAATGGCACGATGAGGAGAAGTCCTGTATGTTCACGCCCTCTAAATATTTGGTAAAAAGATCTGGACAAGTACATCAAGGCTTGCATTCGTTTGACTTGGCGAATGGTCACCCAGGTCCCACCAATGAAGCTTGAGTTCCACTGTTCTAAGTTGAATAAAGATATTCACAAGAAAATGGGATATCACAGCAGTCTCAAAGTGCGTTCAAAGTCCAATCAGGACCAAGATGAGGAAATTGCATGTTACTTGTGGCCTGGCCTTCAAGATGGTGGAGGGAGACGTATTCGTGCAGGAGAGGTTATTTGTAAGGTGAAAGAACAGTGAGAAAAAACGGAGTGTACGCTGTTTTAAATGCAAAGTGTATACAATTCTGAACTGATTTGCATGTAATTGTAAGCACGTAGATTGTGGATTTTTTCACTGACAATGATTTCCACATATAAAATTGTAACATTCGAGAATTTTTTTCTATATATATGTTGCTTTGGTATGACACTCCTACAGCAACACATCCTCTTTATTACCCCTTTTCAAATATTTTACAAGATTACATAACAATATAGAGTTAGAACAACAAGAGTACTGGCAACGCATTAGGTTAAAAATGCCAGGTTGACAGTTTACAAATTGACTAGGCTAGTTGATCCTGGAAGAAATAAGATTATTGATTTATCCTCCACTTCTCTTCATAACTATAATAATCACGTCGGAAGCATATTCTATATGAAATGTAAGGTCAAGTTGATTAAAATGTTTGCCTGAGTTACAGTCGAACCTCCACCAAGGGTTAGGTGGCCGTTGTAGAGAGTTTCAACTGTACCTTCGATCACCGTTTATTTACCAGTTCATACTGTAGTTTGAATTATAGTTGAACCTCTCTACAACGGCCACCTTGGCCGTTGTAGGGAGGTTTAAATTAGAGTAAAGTGTATGTATCGGTGTACGGTTGGGACGAAAAATCCTGGCCGCTGTGGAGAGGTGGCCGTTAGTACCACCGTTAGTGGTATGTAGTATAAAACGTATTTGAGGTTTTTTTCGATAATAAAGAATATTGTTGGATTTCCAAAGAATTCTAGTGGTTTTCTGCTTCGGAGCACCGTGTCCCTGAGAACTTTGCAACGAGTTTTACGTTTATGCTTGTACTTTTATATTAATTTATGTTGGCAAAATCCCATCTACAACAGTACTTTTCCAACAGTCTTGTATACGTAACTAATCCTTGCAAAAATAAGTTATAATTAGAAACTTAGCCGGGGGGAGCAAAGAGCTAACCGAACTGGTGCAGGCAGCCAAATAAGCCACATCCACATTCTTGGCAAAAGCTTTGAATTTTCCAATATTACTCATCAATCCACGCGCCCTTTGAAGTGCATCGAAAGCTGCGAAGCGAGCGTTAGCTAAGTACATTTTCCCAGTGGCTAAAACACTATCGTTGCGTTGCTATATTTAAAGTAGCATTTGATAACGAGAATGTCTCTTTGTGAATAAAGATGTTAATCAGTCAGTGACAGAAGCTACTCTGATTTCTCCCAAATCGAATCTATGACCTTCCGCACACTGGTCGGGCACTCTACCGACTGAGCTACAGGAGACTCGTGGGAGATTAGGCCATATAACTACGTTGTAGGTTCAAATGTGATAAACTTCCCGCATACTACTTGGATAGTATATACCATCATTTCTTCCCAAACTTTATATTTATTACGCGATTCGTAGAGGAGCAGGTAGTTTATAGACAGAATTCAGGATCGTCGGTATAAAAGCAACAAATGAATTTATTCTCAAACTCAGGTAGTCTTCACAGCTTAAACTATCTTGTTTCACACAGACTCTACGAGACTACTCCTTGCTCAAAACTCGATTCGGCACATAGCCACTTGTATAGTATGCACTTCTTAAAGCACTGCTCACATTGCTTCAAATGAGCCAAGAGCTACACACTTATAAACTTATTGTGTACATACTAATACAGTCGAAGATCTCGTAAGCGACCACCTCCGGAATTCGAAAAAGTGGTCGTAACTAGAGCTGGTCGCTTACGAGAATGGGCTCTCGTAAGTGACCACGCGCTCAAACCGATAGACAGCCTCGTCCCCAGAGTCTTCTCAGCGTTCAAAATGGCGGCGCGAAGAAGACCCTGGCGAACAGCAGGTCACGTGTCTCCAAAAATATTGGAGATTTTGATTGTTTCAAAATGGTGGCGGGTTCGCTATTAGCCAATTCTGTGGTCACGTGATCTGCTGTTCGCCAGGGTCTTCTTCGCGCCTACCCGCCATTTTGAAAGCGGAGATGGCCCTGGGGACGAGGTTGACCGATAGAGGCTGGCCACTTACAAAATCTACGAAAGCGAATGTACAGGTCAAGCATCCACAGAGATTGATAACTTCTCTTATTCAGATGATTACAAATAATATAATGTCTCCTAAATGTGTAGCACAACAAGTGGTCGCTTACGAGAGCTTAAAAACAAAGGAAACGACCGGTTGGTAATTCCCAAAAGTGGTCGCGGTCGCTTACCGATGCCGGGAGCGGTCGCTTACGAGAGCTTTTAATTACAGAGTATGAGTGACAATTCAAACGTCGGGGTTTCACAATGGTGGTTGTAACTAGAGCTTGGTCGCTTACGAGAGCGGTCGCAACGAGAGTTTCGACTGTATTCGAGAACCTTCTACAAAAGCTAGTTTTTTACATTATTTTTAAAACTATAACCCTATTCAAGTCTTTTGGACCGGAGGGATTCCTCTGTAACTCCAAGAGTACCATAACTTGGAGTACCGTATAAAGTATGCTAAAAAAGGTTTATTTTGAGGCTCGCAACATGAGATGACAACAACAGTCATGCATTACGTCTTGATTTGGATCCTCCATCTTGGAGTTTTTTAGTTTTCCATGACGTCAGAAAACCACCAAAAAGCCCAAAAGTAACCAAAACTAATAAAAGGTTAAAATGATCTAAAATGTATATACAACGATAGAGATGCCTCTAAACCTGTGTCTAAACATTTTAATCTTCCCGGTCATTCTTTTGAAAACATGATTGTTTGCGGCCTTTCCCTTCATCAAGGCAACACTGAAAGTCGAAAAACCTCAGAACACAAATTTATCTTTCAAATCGGCACCTTGGCTCCCCATGGGATCAACGAACGCTTCTCGTTTAACTAACTAAATAAATTTATTCATGCATTCTCCGTTACCATGCTTCCTCCAATCACGGAACTCCTTATACTTTAGTATATAAACACACACCAGGGGCACCCAACGGATCGTTTCGGTGGAATATCTGTTCGGGAGGCCTATAATCGCCTCGGATATTCGGTTAGGGAAATGTCATCTCGAACTTTCGTAATATGGGGAAATTAATGCCTTTTGTTTTCGGAGAGATAAAAATGTCGTTTTGGGTACAAAAAACGGTCAGCTAGGATTTTCGGAAAGGAAAATTCACCTCATAAATTCGGGTAATAAGATTTCAATCCCTAAAATTTTCTGAAGTTTGAAAGTTCAGCTAACGTATCCGAACAGATACATTTTTCTTAGCGTTAAAAATAAGCCATTAAACTGCACAAAAAGCACAGTTATAACGTAAAAACGACGTTCTGACACCTACAGGAAAATGTTGTCGTTGGGTGCCCCTGACACACAACCCACAATCCTCCACTTTGCTCCGACGAAGGGCTAACGCTCGAAACGTCAGCTTTTAGAAATTCGCTACGGCGGTTAATTTACCTTTATCAACTCTGAGTTGATAATCAACATAGTGTTTCACTTGCCCGCCGACGCAGCACCACAGTTTCATTAGAAACTAATCACTTTGTCCATTAAAATGTAAAAGCTTATGCAAGCAAGAAAATTCCAAATTTGGAAAAACATGCCCGTCAATATAAGGGCTATGGTAACATCAAGTTCCGTGAAAAATGACACGCTATAACAAATTGCTGGCAGAAAACTATTGATAACGTCGAAAAAGTTTGGGGGCTTTTGCTTCAATATTAATTAAAACGAAAGTATATGCGGACAGATTCCCCTCCCGCGGTCTGAATAGTGGTTAAAGGGACACTGTCCTGATTTTAGCATGATTTTGGGAAGCTCTGAAACATATCTAGATCATAGGAAGTTGATCAATAATGGTTTGATTCTGTAGAATAACACTCGACAAATGATAGGAACCCATTAGGAAGTGAGGATGACGAACGACAGCGAGGATGGAAATGGATTGCAATATGGATTTTTGAAAAAACGTCAGGATGTCAGTTTTTCAAAGTTTCAAATTTGACTCGGAAATCTTTGAAATTTTGCAAAAAATTTTGGGCAGTATGGAATTTCTTGAAGAAATTGCTTTTTATCATTTAGTTAGAGTTTATTAAGCTCTTATTTCATAGATTTAGGGACCATTTCATGCATTTGTAACAGTTTTGAGCAAATACGCCGGGACAGTGTCCCTTTAAGGAAGACCTAATTACACAAGAAGTCTAGATATGCCGTCGCAGTGTTCCCGCTGGTTCTATCGATCGCGGTGACTTTGATCTCTGTGCCTCCAAATGCCATGCATTCGTCAATCTTTCTGTCGGTTCCCTTTGAGACGTCAGGTGACTCGACGACAACCTTCCCTATAGAAGAACCCACTGCGGCATCTGTTGTGTACTTTGCTTCTGGGTTAGTTGAGTTATAAAAGTTGAATCTGATTTGACTGTTGTTTGGCTTCCTTTCAAGGAAAACGTTTCTTTTCGCCAACTCTTATGATATCATTCTCCTTTACAAGAACGACGAAGCAATCTTTACACCAAGTAACACCTTCAATAACACACCTTTTCTCGATTGGGTGAATGTTGGAATCAAAGTGGTGATTTGTACCAAAACCATAAGTTGTGGACATGATTCTGGAATCGACAATGTTAGGCTTTTGGCCAAACATCACCGCCCCTTGCATAACTGCTATACTCGCGTCGTTAGGAACTAAGATTCTGCACCTATTGACAGAAAAAGAAAAACGTTTTAGATCTTTGCTGTTCGAAAGGGTAGGCCATACATTGGTGTTATGATCTCTAGATATTCCAGAAGTTACATTAAACCTTAACCGAATATTTTGAAAAGAATTATATAAGCAGCAGTTGGCTGTGCAAATATTATGAGCTTGCGGATAGCTGAACAGGAGGCTTAGAAAGTCTTTCATTTGACGAAAGGATTCATTCCGGAGTTTAAAATTTTCCAAATTAATTGCTTCGCGACTCTCGGGACTCAGGTGAACTTTTGAAAATATGCGTGAAAGTTATCTTCAATTGTGTATTCCGGCCCTTATCAGTAAAACAAAGGTTCAAGCCTCCTGGTTTAAATATTATTATTAGCTTTCATTTCAATTTTATTTAGGATTATAATGCCGTCACCCTATGGAAATTTGAAATGAAATTGTTACCTTCTGCTAAAGTTGTTCTTGATTGCTTCCTGCAGAATGGCTGACTCGGCAAAGCCTCCGACGAGAAAGAAAAACTGCAATCCTTGAAACGCACCATGCTGAAGCAGGTTGCTTAGGTGCCCCACAATGCCATTCAAAACTGGCTGAAATAACTTTCTCATGGCCGTAGATCCTAAACAGAAGTATTCATTTCTTATGAACTGGACGTCATCAGTTGTACATCTTGCAAATCTCCTTGCAAGATCAGGTCCACCATGTTCTGAGACCAATGTTGCAAGGGCACGGGGAATGCGAATTCTCGTTGTTTCACCATCAAAAGCTCGGCGTCCTCTCTTTTTCATTTCAAATTCGAATTCGTTCATCATTTCTAGCCATTCTGCCGGACAGCTCACACGGAATGTTCCTACCACAGCAGTTCCAAAGAACCTCTCAAGCAGGGACACGAACTCCTCGTCAACTTTTGTTCCACCATATATGGTCCTCCGGTCACTTGATGGATTTCTTTGATATTCCCATTTGTTAAGATTTCATGAGCTGTCACATCGAGAGTTCCACCTTTAGAAGGGAAGACGAGCAGACTGTCAAACAGAAGTGTACTCAAACTTTAACAGCTTTATATTAACCATCGCCGGCGTACAAGGGGCTGGGATGCAACTCCCATGAAGTTTTTTCAGAATTTTGAAAATATGATTTACTCTGGGATACTAAACTTTTGCTGATGTTCATTCATCCCTACCGGATATTTTGATGTGACAACTGTTTGTCTGCAGTTTGCAGCTGCTTGTGTAATAACATGCAGGTTTACCACATTTCGAATTTATAATAATTATTTGTTCTAATGATAACTTTTCCAGTTTTCTTTAGCAACATTGCAGTATTAGTACATTTTAACATCGGATTATTGTTTTCATTGGAATAATTTTGTAATGCGATTGATGCTTTTTTCTGACGTCATGAAGAAATAGTGAAATCCAAAATGGCAGATCTAAGATGGCGGATTAATGAAGTCAAATTGTGACGTCATAACTAACAAATAACTATCTTATCTTGTAGAACAAGCTAAAGGCTAAGGCATAATGCTTTCGATGCGCTAGGCAATTATGTTACACACAAACTACAATACTGGTCAAATGTTTTGGGACACTTCACATTTTTGCCGTCAAATGGTCTTTGTATCCACCTCCC